TGAGGAATTTTTTTAGAGGGTTGATGGAACAGTCTGGAGTCTTGAGTGTGGTAATAGTTATTACAGAAAGAACGGAGCAAGAAAGGAAGGAATGAATGTATATAAAGCTGATGAAATCCAAATGAGGTGTGTTATAATACCAATGTCATTTCCTTGATTTAATCAGTGAGTAGGATATTGTCATTGGAGAATACTGAGGGGCTCACAGGAACTCTGTACTATTTTTCTAACTTCTATGTAAGTCCAAAATTATTTCAAAATTAAGAGTTTTTTAAATTAAAATTTAGTTCTTTAGTAACACGACACATTTAAAGCAGTCAGTAGCCCCATGTGGCTAAATGGCAGCCTTATTTAAGAATGCAAATAAAGAATATTGCCATCTACACTGGAAATTTTATCAGGCAGCGCATGTCTGACACTGGCCAATATTTTCTCTTTCTTGACTTTCAAAGTCCAGTAGAATATGAATGCTTTCTTGTACTTTCTATCTCATTACTTATCAACCAGTTTTGGTTACGTTCCAACCTAGAGAAATAATTCTCTCTTTATTTTCTCAAATTTAAGAAAACAAATAATTGTTTTTATGTCAATTTAAAGAGTTGCCTGACATGTCTTTTAATAGGTGTCTGAATATTTATGTTTTCCAACACTCACACGTTTGCATCTGGACCTGTTTTATCAACTGCATTATAGAATATAGTTCTGATATCTCTCCAATAGTTATCCTACTCTGTTTTCAGCATTATCCTTTGTATTTACTTTCCCTTTTATGCTTACCCAAAAGCTCTTTAAAATCTTGGGTTTCTTAAAATATACTATTTTTTTCCCTGCATTCTGGATGTACATCTTTTGAAAAAGTGATTTCTTCCATTGCCATGTTTTCATCTTTCATTCCATGGTACATTTTTCTCTTTAGTTTCTTTTTGTTGTTGTTAGTTTTGTTTTGTTTCAGTTCATTTACCCACTTTTTTCTTTGTTTTACATTTAATCATTGTACATCTTTGCAGCATATGGTATGGGTTCTCAAAGCTTAAATGGGTTGCATATCAAACAAGTCAAAGCTATCACCATACACACTTATCATTCTTGTGTTAAATTTTATTTTCCTGAGCCCCTTCCTACTACTGCCGATGTCCATCCTTTATACTTTTGCATGCGATTTACTGGGCACTTCTTTTACTGTGGAACTTCTTTCTGCTTCATCTTTATCCATCTTGTAGGATACCTGCTTTCATAGTTTTATTTAAGTCACCACCTGAGATTTAAAGACAAGAAAGTGGAAAATGAAACAATAGTTCAGTATCTGTTCTTACATCAACAAAGTTAAGACACTAAAGAACAAGAAGAATGGGATGTGACCCACCTGAAGAAAACCACAAAGAGAGAAAAGACTATTGGAACTCAGATTTATATCTTTCTGGAAGGAAATCTAAATATTCTTATGATATCAGTATTGCTTGAAAATAAGTCATCAGGTTATTGAAATTGTAATAAAATCAAATAGAATTTTTCTTGAAATGGATAGTTTACCAATTCATCTGGAAGACCATCAAAGAACCTTTAGAGGATTAAAAAAAGGAATTATGATTAGGAATGTAGGAAGTAATGCCGATAATAAAACTAAGACAATAGTATTATAGTAGTATAGTACCAGGCACAAAAATTCCCACATAGTTGACCATGGTTCAAGTCTTGGACCCGGTGGCTTAAAACACCGAGTGTATGTGTGTGCATGCCCAACATCCCAAGAGGAGAATAAGTAAGAAGGGATTGTGGCATGGCCACCCCCCTGGGGGTGATTTCTTGCTTCCTCTCAGTCTCTCTCTCTCTGTCTCTCTGGAAAAGAGTCTTTTTTTTTTTTTTTTTTGCTATAGGGTGCATGCACTCGCCAGAGAGACAGAAAGTGAGAAATCGCCCTCTGGGGGGATGGCCACACCACAATCCCTTCTTCTCCATTCTCCTCTCAGGATCTTGGGCACGCACACATACACACCCGGCGTGAGTTTAAGCCACCAGGTCCAGGACTTGAACCACAGTAGTCTACATGGGAGTCCATCAACATAGCCATTATGCCAACTACTGGTTCCAAGAAAAGATTCTTCACTTTACAAATTTAAAATGTAAATCTGATCATGTAATTTCTCTGCGCAGTAGCCACCAGCTCATCCCCAGATCACTCAGAGTTGAAGCCAATTTCATTATAGCGGTCTACAGATCCTGCATGATTTAAGCCTCATCACCGCAAGTGGTGTGATGGTTAAGGTGCTAGACTCCCACATGGCCAACCGTGGTTTGAGTCCTGGACCTGGCAGCTTGCTTTTTTACTTTCCCTTTCTGTCTGTCTGTCTCTGTCTCTGTCTGTCTGTCTGTCTCTCTCTCTCTCTCTCTCTCTGTCTCCGGTCAAATTAAAAAATAGTAATAATAACAAATGGAATAAAAGAAATAAGTAATTATTTTTAAATTATTCTTCATGAATTAAATATTATTTATTCACTAAGTCCCTAATACCTAAATGAGCAAAAGACAAAAACAGATAATTTACCAAAGAATAAATACGCAAAATAAACAGTTTTACTAGGGTTAAAGAGTTTTACTAGGATTAAAAAAGTAAAATATGTGGGGCCCAGCAGGTGACATGATGGTTAAGGTAGCTAGATTCCACATGACTGACTCCATGGTTTGAGTCCTGGACCTGGTGGCTTGAAAAACATACCAAGTGCATGTATACACATGCCCAAAATCATGACAGGAGAATGGAGGAAAAGAGATTGTGGCATGACCATCTCTCCTTTTGGGGGGGGGGATGTGATTTCTCTATCGTTTTCTGTCACTCTTTGGTGAGCACATGTACCCTACAGAAAAAAAAAAATAGAAAAGATAAAGAAAAAGGGACAAAGGAAGGAACTATGAAAACAGTGAAGTAGCATTTCTCATTATTAAATGAGTAAAGATTTTTATTGTTAAAATAGCAATGCTGAGACCAGACAGTAAAGCACAGTAGTAAAAACACAGTGATCTGTGAGCCAGGCCCACAGGGAGGTTCCTAGTTCAAGTCTAGAGGCCACCCTGAGTACACCAGACCTGAGCTCATGATTCAGGGATGTCTGAAGCTGGGTAGATTGCAGTGTTAAGACTCTGTTGGGGTTTTTGTCCCTCATTCTCTCTGTTCTATCATTCATGGAAGAAATAAATAAAAATAAACTTAAAAAACAGCAGTGCTGGTGATGGTGCTGTGAATCAGATATTCTCTTTCATAACTATCTTTATCCCCTTTTTATCATTGCCTTATTACACCATTCTTGATGCAGTAACATCACATATTCTATTTTTTTTTTCAGGAAATCATATTAGCTGTACCATTGAAATATAAACAGCATTGAAATATTTCCACTACTGCTGCCCTAGTCCAAGCCCCTAGCTTCCTTGTCTGGCTTATTGTAGTAGCCCCCTACCTTATTTCACTGTTTCTTGTCTTGCCTTTCTATAGTTTCTGAATATAGCTCCCAAAATTACCAATTTAAAAATGTAAATCTGATCATGTCATTTCCCTGCTCAGTAGCCTCCAGCTGGTCCACAGGTCACTCAGAGTTGAAACCAATTTCATTATGGTGGTCTACAGATCGTACATGATTTAAATTCCACCTTTCCTTTCTGAACCTCATCTCCCACACTGTTCCCTTTGCTTTCTCTGCCGTAAGCACTTAGTCTCCTTGTCATGCTTCTAGTAAATCAAGCATACTTCCACCTCAGGGCCTTTGCACTTACAGTCAGCTCCCTAAGATGATTTACTACATAATACCGACTGCCCCTTCTCTTCTTTCAGGAGTCTGTTCAGATTTCAGAAACAGCATCCTCTCATTCTTTTGAAACCCTTGACTTGCCCTGCTTAATTTTTTTCTGTAATCACATATTACCATCTTATAAGTTACATGTTGACTTCTTGTTTTTCTTTTTCCAATTAGATTGCTTCACAAGGAGCAGAGACTTTGTTTTAGTCACTGTTCTATCCCTCGCACTTAAAAAGAGACTGAAACATAGTAGGAACTTAATATTTGTTGATGGAATGAATACATTGAGTGAACCTTTTGAAAAGCAGCTATATATTTTAAAGCCATTTTTTTAAAAAAAGAGGATGATTCATTTCTCCATTTGTGACAGAGAAGGGTGCATATGGGATGGTATTAAGTGCAGTAATGAAGGTCATGTTTCCCTCAGTAAGAGAAGAAACAGAATAATTTCCAGTAAAAATGAGGTTTCAGAATCAAGAACTATGTTTGGCAGTCTTTGAAAAAACTACGTTGATAGAAGCAAAAGGTTGATTTCTGAGGAGTAATAAAAAAATACGGTTATAGGGTCAGCGAGTGGCATGGAGGTTAAGGTGTTGGATCCCACATGGCCAACTGTGTGGCTTGACCTGGATCCCACATGGCCAAACCTGGTGGCTTGAAAAACACTAGTCGCATGTGTGTGCATGCCCAAAATCCTGAGAGGAAAATGGAGGAGAAGGGATTGTATTGTGGCCATCCCCCTTGGGGGTCCTTTCTTAACGTTCCCTCTCTCTGTGTTTCTCTCCAACAAGCACAAGTGCCCTATAGCAAAAACAAACAAACAAAAAAGGTCATGTGTAGATGTGAGAAGGTTTGAAAGTGAGTCAAAGAGGAAAACCTGTCATGATGCATGATGGAGATCAGTAGCATAAAATGTTAAGTTGTGCGAGGCAAGAAAGCTGCCTAAATCTAAGCTTTGAATGTTTTATATACAGTGGCAAATATAGTGACAGAAGAACTATCAGCTGGGAAGCAGAGGGATAATTCTACTCTAGGTAGTAAGGAGGGTAGGGTATGAAGAAACATGGCATGAGTTGAATGTCACCAATCAGTGATATATCAGAGATAAGGCTTAGTGATTAACTGCATATGGGATGCAAAGAAATGGGAAATAAAAAGCGCTAGTATTAAAAAATCATATTTCCTTTTAATCATTTTCTTTTTTTATTATAGGTTTCTCTGACAATCAAAGAAAAATGGATCATTTAAACCTTTGGAGGATTCAGTTATCACAATACTTCTGTACTACCAACTAAGATTTATGACAGCAAACTTATGGCAATAAATTCCTGCATTTTAGAACTGCTGAAGAACTAAAAAAAAAAAAGATATTCTTTCATAAAAATAATTCTGTGATATATTACTAAGTAAAACTAAAAAGCACAGTTATTAAATTATTAAACTTGCTAATATAAGCACACATGTGCAGCAACTACTGTATCCTGATAGTTACCAAACCTCAAATTTAGATGGTTTTCCTTCATAGAAGACACTATATTTGCAAGAAAGCACTGAACAGTATCATTAGATATATTTCCAGTTAAATATCATTTACAAGGATTTTCTCTAAACAAGTTCTAGAAAGTCCCAAGTCCCACCACTGAGTGGACTTGATAATATGGCAGCAACTTACAGACTTGTGGTTAGTACTGTGAACCACTACAGCAATGTGGTGATAGACCGGCGTTTTGAGCAAGCTATACATTATTGCACTGGAACCTGCCACACTTTCACCCATGGAGTTGACTGTATTGTGGTACATCATAGTATTTGTGCAGATCTCTTGCATATCCCTGTGTCTCAGTTCAAAGATGCGGATCTGAACTCTGTGTTTCTACCCCACGAAAATGGACTTTCCTCAGCTGAAGGTGACTATTCCCATCAGGCCCTCCTTGCAGGCATACCCAAGGTCAAGAGAGGTTCTGCATTTCAGAATACCTGTAACTTAAAGGACATTGCAGGAGAAGCCATCAGTTTTGCCAGTGGAAAAATCAAAGAATTTTCCCTTGAAAAACTGAAAAACTCTAACCATGCAGCTTATAAAAAGGGAAGGAAAGTTAAATCTGACTCATTTAATAGGAGATCTGTTGATTTTGATTTGCTCTGTGGTCATTATAACAATGATGGGAGTTCCCCATCCTTTGGTTTACTCCGGAGTTCCTCGGTTGAGGAAAAATCTTTGTCCCATAGAAACTCACTTGATACAAATCTGACTTCAATGCTTCTTCAAAATTTCTCTGAAGAAGACCTGGTTACTCAGATTTTAGAAAAACATAAAATAGATAATTTTTCTTCTGGAACAGATATAAAGATGTGCTTAGACATCTTGCTAAAATGCTCTGAGGATTTGAAGAAATGCACAGACATCATCAAACAGTGCATAAAGAAAAAATCAGGGAGTGGCGTCAATGAAGGAAGTGGTAATGATGCAGTGTCTAGCTCTGAAACTATCTATGTGAATGTAATGACCCGGTTAGCCTCCTATCTGAAAAAATTACCATTTGAATTCATGCAGCCAGGGAATAATGAAGCTATAGATTTAACAGAACTGGTCAGTAATATGCCTAGCTTACAGTTGACTCCATTCTCTCCAATATTTGGTATTGAACAGCCCCCTAAGTATGAAGATGTTGTCCAGTTCTCAGCTCCTGCTTCTAAACAGTTTCAGACTATTGGATTGCAAGATGACAAGCATAATTCTAGGAGAATGGACACTGAAAAATCCATTCCAAATAACTCCACAAATTCCTTGTATAACTTAGAGGTAAATGATCCCAGAACTCTAAAAGCTATCCAGCTTAAATCACAGTCATTAACCACAAACCCTTCAGAAAATGTCTCTTCTGTTGACTTAATGGAAACTCTTTATATTGAAGAAGAGTCAGATGGAAAGAAAGCATTAGATAAAGAACAAAGGAAAGAGAATGGACCTAGTCAGGAACTGTTAAAGGTAAATGAACAGAGAGCAGAATCATCTGATCATGATGCTCATCTCAAAAAATGTCCTGCTTTGGTGCAAAATGAAATCAGTAAGATATTTGAGAAACCAGTTGTTCATCTTCCTATGGAAGACTGTAAATCAAAAGTTTCTAAAGTTAAAGAAGACCAGAGAGATTTTATGAATCATAATAGTCAGGAAGAGATAGATAAATTGTTGATGGATTTGGAGTCTTTTTCACAGAAGATGGAAACCTCTCTAAAAGAGCCACTTGCCAAAGGTAAAAACTCTAATTCTTTAACTGGGATCCCCGTAGATCTTGACCCTAAATCTAAAGTCTCTTCACCCGTGGAAAAAGTCTCACCTTCTTGTCTAACAAGGATTATTGAAACCAATGGACATAAAATAGAGGAAGAAGACCGAGCCCTTTTATTGAGAATTCTAGAAAGCATTGAAGACTTTGCTCAAGAATTAGTTGAATGCAAATCAGGCAGAGGGAGTCTTTCACAAGAAAAGGAAATGATGCAAATTCTACAGGAAACCTTGACAACTTCCTCCCAGGCCAATTTAACAGTCTGTAGAAGTCCTGTTGGTGATAAAGCCAAAGATGCTACTTCAATGGTTTTGATTCAGCAGACCCCAGAGGTGATCAAGGTAAGACCCCACAATATTGTGTCCTGAGACGTCTCCAAAAAATGTTTTAATGTTTGCAAAATTTGTGAACAAAAACTTTTTGTTAGCCATTTTATGCTCTATAGCTCCTGTTCTATACTAGGCATGATGTTGCTCAGTTCAGTCAGTAAAAAGCAAAGGCTTTAGAGTCAAACCGACTTTTAACTTTCTTCCACATACCCTTTTATCTTCTTCCTTGCTCTGTGACTAGAGGAAAGTTACTTAACCTTAATATCCTCATCTATATAGTGGAAATAATAAGGATCAATATATCCCGAAGCATAAGCAACGTGCCTTATACAAAGTGGCATTTGGTGGCATGGTGATTAAGGCGCTGGACTCCCACATTGCTGATCACAGTTTGAGTCCTGGACCTGGCAGCTTGCTTTCTCATTTTCTTCCTCTCTCTCTCATGCCCTATAGCAGTTTTTAAAAATATAAATAAAATTGGGGCTGGCAAGTGGCGTGGTGGTTAAGGGTGGTTAAGACTCCCACATGGCCAACCACAGTTTGAGTCCCAGACCTGAGGGCTTGCTTTCTCACTCTCTCCCTCTCTGTCCCTCTCTGGCTAAATTAAAATAAATAAAGTTAAATAAAATAATTCTTTAAAAAATATATATATATATA